AAAAGTATATGAAAAAACGAAAAAAATCTTTTTTTATTCATCAAAATCGGCCAATTTGTTCGCAAGATATAATTTTTCAAAAATTTGAGCTCTTGTTATTTGTCCTGGCCAAACAATTAATGTTAAAGGAGCGAAAATTTAGAGAAAGTATGTACTCATGTAGTACTTGGCTGGGAGCATGCTAATTCAAGATTCTGAGAACCAAAAAATTCCAGGGTGGCTGAGTTGACATGGAATGTCCTATATGTGATTTGTGTTTATCAAGGAAATAAATCACTGGAAACTCCACTTGATTTGCGATGCACCAAGTATAGAAATTGTTACAAATATACTCTGAAAAAGTTTCTGACACCATTCACCCTGAACTGGACCTCCCGACAGGCCAATCGTCCGGGACTGACTTACTTATATGGAGTGGAATACGTTTATAAGCGTAGAGAATCATAGGAGGTAAGGCGATTCTAGCAGCAGAAAACGTACAAAGTACAGTGGTCGATTGTTTTTCTTTTCCTGATGCAATTTCGTAATTATCCTTTTTACCCTTTCCCCCCATGAATTCTCCACTCTTGGGACAAATCTCCACCCCCGTCTCGTCTTCGTTGAAAATGCTTTGAGGCCTGCTAAGAATGCTGCTCTGTCCAATTTCTTCTAGATGACTGATAACTCCTTGGTACCACTCTTTGCGGGCTCGTTCTGTGACAGAGGCTCGCCCTTTTGATATTACCTCAGTTTGTTTTATTGATATTTCTGGGTGTCTTGATAGGAAAAGCTGTAACCATTTATTCCCAGGTCGATTATCAGTGAATGAATTTTTTCTTGGCACTTCTTGCAAAACCCTCTGCATAGCATCCTTCACTTCATCTGGGTGCATTGGGAACCTAAACGAGCCTTATCCAAAATCCATTTTGTTAATCTAGCTTCTTCGTCTGCTGTTAATATAGTGGGAGGACCTTTCTCTGCACCCTCCGGAATTTTTCCAGTGATTTTTGCGTGTAGAGTGCTCTTTGGAGTTCCATATTTTGTTGCTGCTTTACCTAGGCTAAGTGCTCCCCTCACTGCCTCCAGGGCATCGTTTAAATGAGCAGGGGAATACTCGTGAACCTTGTAGGCTCGTTGTGATGGTTTTGACATCAGAAAAAATGTGAATTCCATTTAATACAATAATGATGACTTCCAACTTTCTAGAAAAAATTAAATTATCACATTAACGAGAGATTTTTCTAATGTACGTGAAAAGACATGATTAGTAGCTTATTTTTTCAGCTACAAAAAAAAGTTTTTCACTTTTTCTCTTCAGGTAAGTTATTATGTAGATAAATCGACGATTGATTATGGGAATGAGAATGAATTGGACACATGGCTGGTCGTCCATCTCTAAGTTTGAGGTTAGAAAATTGACACCTGAAGATGAATGATCAGATTTACCACTTCACAGCATTATTTCATGTTTTTGCATTACTGAAACGACAGAATATAGTATACTGATCATAATTAAAAAATACATACCGTCAATAATTGTCATAAAATCAATTTTTTCGACTAGTTTCATCACATTGCACTGCGCTGGCCTTAGTACATGGAGCGTCACTGGGGCACATTCCTGATACCTGTGACTATTTCTTTTTTTTTCTAGGTTAAAATATCCAGAGATTGGAATTCAACGGCCATCAAATAATTCCATACAAGTGTCGTTATCGGACGGAAAAATTAAGTGTATCCTTATCATTTTATTTTTTTAAGCAATATTTAATTAAAAGTGAAATCGTCCATCTATTGGGGGGTAATTGGGGGTATCCATCTATTGGTGGTGTCGCCCTATACGGTTCGGCATTGTCATGTTGAAGAATTAATTTACTGTGCCGGTGTAGCGGCCTAGTGTCTCCATCTAGTCAGTGTGACAGATGGATACATTAGGGCACTGCACAATCAGCCGGCTGTGCGACTGGGGTTTTACATGGTTTCCCGTGCAGTCCTAGCTCGAATGGGGCACAGCTAAGAGTAAGACGGCCATGATACCGCAGATAACAATGAGAGGAAAAGTAAAGGAGCGGAGGCAGGCTAGAGAAGGGGTTTCAAATCGAGAACTACTTCGATAAAACCAATGAAATAGAAAAAAAATAAAAAAATAAAAAAAATTTACTGTGCCTATTCACCCATTCTGGTCGTTTTTCTTCTATGGCTCGCTTCAAACGCATTAGTTGTCATCGGAAAACTTCTCCATTAATAATTTGAGAGGGTTTGAGCAACTCATAATATACACCACCTCTCTGATCCCACCAAATACAGAGCATAACCTTGGCACTGTGAATATTTCTTTTTGGCTGGGATGGGCCGGGTTCACCTGGCTTCACATAAGCTTTTTGGCGTTTAGGATTCTCATAATATATCCATTTTTCATCTCCTGTGACTATTCGATGCAAAAATCCTTTTCTTTGCTGCCTTTGAAGGAGCATTTCACAAATTGTTTTTCGACGTTTCATGTCTTTCTTTTAATTCATATGGAACCCAGTTACCAACTTTTTGAACCATTCTCATTACTTTTAAACGCTTTGCAACAGTTGATCGTTCAACATTTAATGCTGCAGCCAATTCTGATTGAGTTTGGCAAGAATCCTCTGCCAATAATGCCTCCAATTCTGCATCTTCAAATTTTTTTGGTGGTTTTCCATGTTCTTTGTCCTTAGTGCCAAAATCATTCTTTTGAAATCATCGAAACCATTCCTTGCAAGTTGTATTCGATGGAGCATGCTCACCGTAAATCTCCACAAGTAAACGATGAGTTTCCGCTACACTTTTCTTTGCAATATAATAGTGTAATAACACTTCCCGCAAATGATGTTTACTTGGAACGAAAACCGACATTCTCACAGAGGTAAAAACACTTGTTGCTTACATTTCAACCAAATGTCACGTAGTGCGTTTGACAGCTGACATAAAGTGCTATCGAATACAAGTGTTGCCATTTATTAGTGCACGTAAGCAATATTAAAAACGACACCTGTTGGGAAAGGGGGAGTCATATTCACACACCTAAAAATTAAATATTCATTTTCTTCTACGTTTTTATGTGTTTACTCGGCTGGCTTTCAGCGCTCGAGCTGAAAATTTTCGGAGATACTCGAAAAAAATATATACTCTGCGACTAAAAACAAGAAGTCTCCATTTAGTAGGTGGAAAACCGGAAAGCTGCGAAATATCAAACATTCGCACGATTATCCTAAAAATTCTTTTTTTTCTCATTTTCATACGTTTATTCAGCTTCTATCAAGAGTCCCAATTTGAAAATTTGTGGAGATACTCCAAAAAGTATACACTTTCTGAAAAAAAAATTCTTTTCAAGAGGGTAAACGACCAAAAAACCACTGAATTTTGTCAAAAAATTGATTTTTTGTGGCCGAAAAAAACTAGAACGGGAACGGAAATTTTTTTCCTGAAACTTCAGACAATTTCCGAAGAAAAGTTACTTGTGACATTTATTCATGGAATGAAAACTGTTGCCGTGAAAATTGATTGAAAAAAAAAATTTCAACATGCATTTTCTCGGTTATTAATTGAGATATCGGAGTGAAAATTTAGGGTTGAGTTTCTTTTGACATATATTACAAATTGTGAAAATTGAAAGTCAATCCCAAAACCGAAGCCGAAATATTGAACGATAATTGGGAGAATATGCCAGCAGCTTCTTCGTATCTAGCGCTGGACATTGCTACGTCACAGCGGCTGACCCCACTACGTGGATATAACGCTCTCGTTCTATCTTTTGGCGTTAGATATTCACTCTCTTTTCACTTTTGGGCGATTAAATATAAATTGAGCGATTTTTGCGTATTCAAGCAGTAGTCGAGAGTCGAGTAGTAGAGTAGTTGAGTATTCGAGGAGTCAGTGACTAGTCCTCATTGAGTCCATGGCCTTCGGACAGAGTGCCTTTGGGCGATGCCCCTCTGGGGCGAATTTTGCATCTAACCAATAGTTTAGATGAGATTTTGGGTTTCGACTCGCATTGCCGCATGATTTTCGTAACCATTCGGAGTTGTGCCCCAGAACTCTTTTGAGGATTATTGTGGAGTTCGATTGTTCCTTTTTTTGTGCATAATTATGAGAATTTCGCGTTCGGATTACGTGGGGATGTGAATGGTGTATTCGGCTGTTCGATTCCGTACGATCTCGTGTCTGTTCCATTTTTTTTTATTCGGATCTTGCGCTGAACAGTGAGAATGTTGCTGGTTAACGTGAGTTGTTTAGAGTCGTGATTTTCTCTGTGCATTGAACGTGGACGCGTGTTAGATTTCATGGGATTTGTTTTACATTTAATTCTATTTCGTGGCGTTGACGAGAATTCGAGTCGTAGGATTGAAGTTCGCCTTAAACATTTGTCCTCTAGCTCCTTGTCTGCTCAATAATTATTGAGTATTGAAGAATATTTGTTTTTGTATGATGATTCTGTTTTTTTATCTCCTTTTATTATTTTTACTCCCAATTTTTTTTTTAGATAAGTTTTGAGTTAATTTAGAGTTTCTTTTTTTGCGACATTGAAAGTTCAAGCTCGTTATTTTGGATAATTTTTTTTAAGACAATTATGTATAGTTTCCATTTTTTTTTACATGAATATAACCTCGATACATGAAACAACATTAGCTCCGATGTTTCGAGTTACGTTATTTGTTTTTGTTTTAGCAATAGCCATTGGCCCATTTTCCATCCGAACCTACTGCTCTCTCCACAACGAACCCCCTGAGCAGCGCGAACAACCCAGCAGCTAGCACCTTCCCCTGAACTCCTTAGTTTTAGGTTTGTATTAGAGTAAGTGTTAGTTTCTGTTTTCTTCGTTCTCGTTTGCGGTTTGTTTATTTGGTTTGGCGTCTCCGAGGTCAAAGGACGGCTGGCGTCCATTGATAAGTTTTTTAGTTCTCATAGTCTAGGGGAAATGGGCGAGTTAACGTGGTTTTCCAGTCCCAGATGAAAAATTCCGTTACAGAGTAAATTCTATTTTAATCGAAAAATTATTGGGGGTAATTATTGAGGGTGTTGATTTGCTGTAGTGATGGTTCCGGAATTGTTGTGAGTGCTTCTCCGATGATGAAATGTCCTGGTGTCAAGGCCGATGTGTCTTGTAGGTCATTGGCTAGTGGGCAGAGTGGCCTTGAGTTGAGTATAGCCTCGACCTGAGTAAGAAGAGTCGTAAATTCCTCGTACGTTAAGGTCGAGGTTCCGATGATTCGTCTGAGATGATATTTCGTTGATTTTACCGCAGCTTCCCATTTGCCTCCCATGTGTGACGAGTAGGGAGGGTTGAATTTCCAAGTAGTTCCGTCTGATGCTAGCTGATCCCCGATGATAGCCGATTCGCTTGATGCCTGGTCGAAGAGTTTCTTTAGTTCTTTCTCTGCCCCAATGAAGTTGATCCCCCTATCACTGGTCAGGGTTGCACAAATTCCCCTTCTTGAAGTGAAGCGCCTGTATACTGCGATGAACCCCTCCACTGTTAGATCCATTACCAGTTCCAGATGAAGAACCGATGTTGCGAAACAGACAAATGGACAGATGTACTCCTTATACATTGTCTTGTTTGCTCCTGATCCTCTCCATCTCAGGATGTTGATTGGGCTGGCAAAGTCTACTCCTGAGTGAAGAAAGACTCTTGATGGTGTCACTCGTCGTGCCAGTAGCTGTCCCATCAGCTGTTGAGCTCTCAATCCCTGATGACGTGCGCAAGTCACGCACTTGATGATGTATGAGCGTACTGGAGCTCGCCCACCGATGATCCAATATCTCTGCCGAATATGTGCCAATGTGAGTTGAGTTCTCCCATGGAAACTCCGTTGATGAGCGTCTGCGATGATGAGCGATGAGGGTGCTGAATGACGAGGGAGAATTATTGGATTTTTCTCCTCCGGATCTAACGTTGATTTTTGTAGACGTGCGCCCATGCGCATGACGTCGTTTTCCAAATATGGCGTCAGCGTTGCCATACGATGATTTGCTGCCAGTGAGTTTCCCGTTTTCAGTTGATTGATTTCCGCCTCGAAGTATAGCTGTTGAGTATGCCTCACCCAATACAGCCTCGCATCTTCGAGTTCTTGTGGTTCCAGTTGTGGAGAATCGGGTAGTTGGTGCCCTTGGAAGCGCTTAGCGGCTCGATTTACCCAGGCTGTACTCCGCAAAAGCTTTCTTAGTGATGAGTATCTGATGATCAGTGCATCTCTCTCAGCGATTACCACTGGATGTGAGCTAATAATAGGCGGTCTTGCTTCTTTAGCCGCCTCGGATGATACTTCCGTCGTTGATGCTAAGTCCATAGATGATGCTAGCCAATTGTCTGATGACAGGACAAGCTATCGTCCTGTCCACCATAGATGGTGCTCCGCCAGTTGTTTTGGTGATAGACCCCTTGATGCGCAGTCCGCTGGATTCTCCTTTCCGTTGATGTCTCCATGTTGCAGAAGGCAGAGTATTCCGTATTTTAAGAATTCTGTTCTGCACGAAATCTTTCCATCGAGATGCTTCCCCGTTGATCCATGTGATGGCTACCGATGAATCCCTCCGTTAGTGGATCTCGATGTTGTCCAGGTCCAGTATACGTTTGACGTAAGCCACGAGATCAGTGACCATAACCGCTGCTATCAATTCCAGTCGTGGTATGGTTTGTTTCTTGAGTGGTGTCACTTTAGTCTTGGCGCAAACTAGAGTGACAGTCGTTCCCGTTGTCTTTGATGCTGTTCGAAGATAAACCGATGCGCCCATTGCCAAGTTTGATGCGTCCGCAAATCCGTGAAGTTGAGTTTCCATTGTATTGGGCGTGAGGTGGAGCCACCGTGGTATTGTGAGGCTGCTCAAGTGTTGAAGCTGCTCTCTGAATGATTTCCAGCGACCTTTGTAGTCCTCTGGAAGTGGATCGTCCCAGTTAAGTTTGAGCAGTCATAATTCCTGGATGAGTATCTTTGCCGTGACGATGACCGGCGCGATGAGTCCCAGTGGATCGTAGATTTGCGCAATTTTGGACAAAATTACGCGCTTAGTGATGGTGTCCCCGTTGAAGTTCTTTGCCTTGTAGTGAAAAGTGTCAGAATTGGGTTGCCAGCAAAGTCCCAACACTTTCACTGTTGATTCCTCGAATTCGATGATTGGAGGTGATCCTGATAATAATCCGAGTCGTTCCAGTACTTTTGGTACATTACAGCACCACTTCTGCAATGGCATGCCGCCCGCCATGCAGAGATCGATGAGTTGCTCGATGATTTCCTCCAGTTGATGTTCTGTTTCTGCACCTCCGTATATGTCGTCGACATATCTTCCCTTTATGAATGTCGGTAAGGCTAAAGGAAATCGATGACCTTCATCGATGGCCAACTGTTTCAGCACCCTTAGAGAAAGCCAAGGTGCGCAGCTGGTACCGTAAGTGACTGTCGTCAGTTGGTATTCGATGAGTTGACCATCGTTGGCTTTCCAAAAGATTCGTTGATAGTCCCAGTCGTCTTGATGAACACGGATTTGGCGAAACATTTTCACAATATCCGTTCCAAATACCAAACGATGTCGATGCAGCCAGATGAGTACGTCAGAGCTGTCAATTTGTAGTTTCGGTCCTAGATGAAGTATGTCATTCAATGACACTCCTGATGAGCTTCGATGAGATGCGTCAAACACCACTCTCAATTTTGTGGTGGTGCTGTTTGGCCTCAGTACTCCGTGATGAGGCAGATAGTATGTCTGCCTTTGCTCCGGTGCCGGTGGTGCTCACTGCATGTCGTCCAAGGCCTCATACTCCTCGATGAATTTCTTGTAGAGAGTATGAGCGTCTGGATCTGCTGATAATCGCCTAATGGTTTTCTCTAGCCTGATCCTAGCCGTCGATGCTGTATCCCCCAGTGCGGCTGGTGATGATTTGAATGGAAGGCGCACTATATAACGCCTTGTTGAATCTCTCTGATGAGTTTCGATGAAATGCTGCTCGCATTCTGCTTGAGCTTTGCTTAAAACTGATGATGATGATGGTGTATCCGGTAATTCCTCCTGGACCCAAAATTTCTTCAGGAGTTCTAGTAATTGTTGATTAGCCGTTTGCGTCGTTCCCTTTAAAGATGATTTTTCTGAGCAGTTCATGTAGCAAACTGGTCCCGATACAACCCAGCCAAATGTAGTTTGCTGAGCGATGAGTTTCGTTTCTTTAAACCTGATGATTTTCTCCTCGACGATTCTTCTATAAGTATCAGCTCCGATGATTATGTCAATTGCTCCAGGTCTTAAGAAGTGAGAATCTTCCAGTTGAAGTTCCTGTAGTTGAAGAGGAATCGTTGATTTGCAAGCAAATGGCGGTATTTTCGCCTTCAGCGTGCTCAGGATGTAGGCCTGTACGATGATTTCCACAGCGGGATTGTGTCTCGGTTGTAAGGCGAGTTTCACGACACCACGTGTGCTCCCTGATGATGTTTCTCCGATGCCGATGATGACCAGTGATGATGACTTTCTTTCCAAGTGTAGTTGATTTACCAAGCGCTCTAAAACTAGTGATATTTCGGAGCCCTGATCGATGAGGATCCTAGCTGGCGTTGATTGTCCATGTTGATTGAGTGTATTGACCCTTGCCGTCGCCAAGACTACCAGATGAGTTGCTGTCTGCTGGGTTCCCTGTGTCTCCAGTACGTTGCTGGAGTTCATCGAGTTAGTCTGGTGTGGCTCTGATCGTACTTGATGCCGTTGATGATTGTCCTGGTGTTTCTCTGATTGTCATTGATCTCCAACGTGCCATGTATCCATATGGCGAGAATGTCCGACGTGGTATTTTCCCGATTATCGATCATCTCCAAGATGGTGTTCCTCCGATTGTCGATCATCTTCAAGATGGCGTTCATCCGATTGTCGATGATATTCCAGATGATTGTTAGAGGTCGTTGACCTCTTCGTCTCGATGAGTGACCCAAGAGATGATCGAAGTAGTGATGCTGTGTCTTGGCGTGATGATGGACCCGATGATTTATTGACAGAATTCGTCGCGATGATTGACTGCTGTATGATGATGTTCCTGATGTCTCCTGCCAATACACACAACGGTTAAGCTCAATTCAACTTGTTGTAATAATAAATTGATACTTAACCGCTTGTGCTTTCTGGTGTGGTTGATTCACCCGGCGCTACTGTTTGCTGACCTTTTGTCAACTTAGCATTGTGGATCAATGTGTAATGCAGTCCATTGCACGATCTGCATCTGTGGTGTGACTTACATTTGTGTGCTCGATGAGGTCCCAAACAGTTGAAGCACAGATCGTTGTCGAAGAGGATTTGCTTCCTTTCATGGGGCCTCAAGCCCCAGAACGTGGGACATTCGGCTCCCAACTAGTGAGATCGCTTGCAGAGCTTCCACTCCTTGATGCTGGCCCACGGATGTGACACCGATGATTTTTCCTTCTGTGTCTTGGAAGGAGAAGCCGGATGAACCCTGGCCGTTGACTTCGCCTTCAAATTTCCCTGAGTTGAGTGTCCCTGATCCTCGCATCTTTCCATATTTTCCAGAGCCCTTGCCCTTGTTTTAAGGAATTCTATGAAGTCCTTAAGCACCGGTGGTTGTGTTGAGTCTCCCAGATGAACCTCTCAGTCTTCTCGGGTCTTTAGATCGATGACCCTCCTGATGAGGTGCGAGATGATGATGTCCCAGTGTTCCGTTGGGGCCCCGAGATTCTTCCTGGCCGTTAATGCCTCCGTAACGGTGTCGATGATGAGGAGAAGTCCCGACGCTGACTTCTCCTTGAGCTCCTTCAGGTTGAGGACTCGATTTAGATGGGCTGCCATGATGAGTCTTGGATTCTCAAATCGAGCGACCAACTTGTCCCAAGAAGCCTTGTAATTTGATGCCTCTTTCCCGATGTTAGATATTAGATCTGCTGCTGGAACCTTAAGTGCCTTCATCAGCCTCATCATCTTCTCCATATCGTCCAGTGGCTTGTTGTGGACGAGGGAAACGAAGGCATCGTGGAATTTCTTCCAGTCCGAATATTTCCCGTTGAAATCCGGTACATTTAGCCTTTCCAGGTTGGTGAACGCGGATTTTCCGCTGGATGAGTTGCCCTCGAGTTTTTCCTTGATGCTTTCCTTGATGCGGCCCAGATCCTTCATGGCCATCTTGTAGCTCTGCAGGGCTTCTTCGAAGATGTCCTCTACAAAGTACGGCCGATCAATCACATCTTCCGTGGCTTCGTCCATCAGGTACTCGTGGTACTGCGAGAAATTGTTCCACTGCTGTTCGACGATCCGATAATGTGCCTTGATGTCCCCTTTTCCTAATTTCTCGATGTCTTCTTTGCTGATGTCCCCGATGATGTCCTGAAGACCCCTCAACCTGCTGTATTGAGTTTTCACCTTCAACTCAAACTTTAATAGCCATGGACTGATGATTCTCTTGGGTGGTTCGACTTTTCCCGAAATTCCTGGAGTTTCTGTATCCTTGTTGTCAGTCGGTTTTCCATTGTCTTTCATTTCGGCCTTCTTCTGTTCAGCCCAGGTTTCGTCCTTCTTCTCTCCAATCTCACTCATAATGATTTAGTGAATTAATTCAGAGGATAATTATCTATAAATTGTGACAATTACCGATGAATTTCCGATGTTGCGGTGATAACCGGCCGATGGGTTACCGACTGACGATGATGATTGTCGATGGGTGACCGACCGCTGTTCCGATGATTGTCGTTGAGTTACCGACGAGCGATGATGAGTGCCGATGAGTTACCACCTGACGTGGCGCTGAGTATCGTTGATGATGCTCTCACTACGCTGTCCTTGCGCGTTGCCGTGTGAACCCCGTAGCGAGAGGCTTCTACGGCGTGGTTCTCCACGTGTTGCACGGATGTTTTTTTTTTCGTCCAGAGTCCGTTGCACCCACTCACTGCACTTTTCTGCACTAATTCACTTCCGATCCGGCTCGCAGGACAAATGTTCAAAATCTACTCGAGATTTGATGAGTTAGGCGGTCGGGAGGAGAGGTGATCTTGGGGGGGGGGGGGCACAAATAATAAAAGAGGGGAATTCGGATGATTTGCGGTTTAATGAGCACAAAGATTCCACTTGAAACGTGAGTTTACAANAACGAATAAATAGATGTATTTTCCGAATGGACTGTATTGACACAAAACAAATAGATGATATTACGATAACGTTCCGATAATTAACTGTCCGAGATGAGGTTCGATGGTGTACTGACGATTGCGACACGGACGACCGTCTCGAGCGTCTCTTGAGTCGCGCGAGCAACGTGATGTCGAGCATTGTCATGTAGCAATATGACTTGCCTGCTTCCTTGCCCAGTAAATGGCCTTTTCCGATCAAGTTCTTTGGTCGCTCAGTTGGTTCATTTGTCGGCTATAGCGTTCCGGAGTCACCGTCTGACCAGTTTCTAGGAGTTTGTAATAAAGCACACCCTTCATGTTCCACCAGATACACAGGAGAATTTTCTTTAAGCAGATGGTCTGTTTCGGCGCCGATATACTGGATTACCCGGGATCTACCCACGACTTTTTACGTTTGGGATTCTCGTAAAAAATATACTTTTCATCACCCGTCACAATTTTCCACAAGAACTCCTTTTTTTGTTGCCGGGCATGCAGTGAAAGACATGTGTTCATACGTTGACCTAGATTTTGTTCGGTCAACACATGTGGGACCCACCTTCCAAGTTTTTTGATTTTTCCCATTTGGTACAAACGCTAAGAAATATAAGCTTGGGTGACTCCTAACTGAGCTCCAAGCGCTTGTTGTGTTTGCATTGAGTCTTCATCCAGTAAAGCTTGCAATTCCGATCTTCAAACTTTCAAGACTGTCCAGGGCGCGGCTGGTCACTAAGATCGAAATCACCACTGCTAAACCATTTGTACCAATAATTACACGTTTCATAAGAAATTCATGAGAAATTCGCGTGCTTTGGAAGCATTTTTTCCTTGTTGAAATTGGTCTAAAATGCAGTGCCGAATGTGCTCAGTTCCCATCGTAAACTCTGCTATTCTCAGAGGTTATGTAACTCACGTAAACTTGTCGTTCGGTGCTCTAAAATCTTTTGTCCGATCCTTTCAAATGCACAAAAGGCCGCGAAAATATTTTTATTTTAAATATAATTTCAAGCTCGAAAAAAAAATCTGTAAAAATTAAGACATACACCTAATAAAATTAGCGAGCTAATCTTACGATCCGTCACCACGTGGGTTCCACAGAAAAATCTCCAAAAAGGCCAGTGGGGTCATGTAATTTAATTGCAGTTGATGGCAATCATGTTTTTGTCATTGGGCCCGAATTTAAACTAGCAAAGCGCGGTTAAAATGGCGGTTTATCGAGTCTAGTGACGAAAACATGATTGCCATCAACTGCAATTAAATTACATGACCCCACTGACCTTTCTGGAGAGTTTTCTGTGGAACCCACGTGGTGACGGATCGTAAGATTAACCCGCTAATTTTAATTTCTCGATTAAAATAGAATTCACTCCATATTTAATTAAATTTAAATACATGTTGGATATTTAATTACAATTTAATTTAGGAAAGATATACAGATAGTATGTACCGAGTCCCTCTGGGAATGGTCCGCTTGTCCATAACTTCGCCAATCTGTCATGGTCACTATGTTCTCCGGAGATTCGTAGATTTCTTTTAATTCTAACCTTAATGACTCCATTACTAGAGTACAACCAATTTACAATATATTGCGGTTGTTGTAGAATGCAAAATTGCAAAAACCACATTAACGGCGCCATCTATGATAACCTTCCATGTTTGAAATTGTGAACATTGTTGAGATTTATACAATCCCTTCCTATGATTCTTTCCTCATCGCATTCGTTTCGCACAATTGGATGTAAATTAGACGATGTGTCAAATGTCATTGTGTAATTTTGAGGAGAATGATTAACACTGTGTAGAATTTTAGTTGACTCGTCAATAACTTTTTCTCCTGACTGTGGCATATTTTGTACAGTGTATATTGCGGCGTAAAATGTGTAAGAACTTTTTGTGTAAGTTATCATTGTGATGAATATCATTATATCGTTCAATTATACTGCAGGCAGTAAAGTATCAGAACGCAGTGTGTCGAAATAAACCGTGAGTGAACGTAGTGTGTCAGTATCAATAGTGTCGAACATGTTGTGTTCATTCGTGAAATCAATGCGCAAATAGAATAAGGATGACAATCTGACAATCTAATTGTGTACAAAATGAACGATAATTCCATTGGGTCGCACACATTAATATTTGATACATCTCTTGAAAATCTTTCACAGAAATACAAGTGTGCGCATTGATACTATTGAGAATAATATATTCCCATGAATGAGATTATTTCTACATATTTCAAACTTGATGTACTCATTATTTGATTGACTAGTCACTGAACTGCTTTTTGAGTCAATCAGTCAGGTGTCAGCCTTGGTGGTGCTTGTTCCCAAGTGCAAAACTTGGCTGTGTATTCCTTGAATTAACATTCTACAAATTTTTGCCAATAAACAATGAACGGGAGCAGCTTGCATAAATAATTGCTTCAACTCATTATCAGCAGTGTGTGTAATCGACTTATCGTTGTAAATGCAGTTCATAATATCAAATTTATTCTCGGACAAGTTTTACACAGTCGTATGTCAATTTTGAAAATGTAGAAAACCCGCCTGTGCTTGTTTTCATTGT